GGCATGTGTGCAAGCGCATATGATGAACTTTCGCATGCCCAAATCGGGTTTCTTCTTGGTAAAGCATCACATTGGGCCGAGAATTTATTTGGGCCGAACCGTGAATATTTTGGGCCTCAACGACCTCATTATTATTAGAAGTGGAACCACTTATTATAAGTTGTAATTTATTTAGTCCAATTTTCGATGTGGGACTTTATATTTTTCAATAGGCTGGGTATATTATTTTGGGCTGGGAAAAAAAAAAAGCCATAGGGGCCGCTCATCCCTGTTCATGATTGCTAGAGCCCAAAGTACCCATTATGGAGAAATTAAGGAATTGAAATTGAATTAATTATTCCCCTATTTGATTCTATTATTGATTTTGAGGGTGCTTGATTACAGAGTTTTCCATCTCCTTTTTGATTTATTGTGTGTTAGTTTGAGAAACATGAATTAGAATCATTATAGTACTCATTCACGATGAGTAAACATGCTATAAAATCAACCAGAACGAACCAAACAAAAATAAGAAAAATAAAAGTGAGTGGGCCAAATATGACTAATTATCCTTCATGACACAAATAGGCACATTAATAAAATGCAGGGCCCATTACATGGATCCGGCCCATGAAGATCAATCTGGGTATTCAATGCCGTAGCCCGTATGGTTTAACAGAAGAGTGAGAGAGACAGAGACAGAGAGACAGAGAGAAAAGAGACAGAGAAAGAAGGAGAAATGAGGAAGAGATGGTGGACGATAGGATTGGTGGTGGGGATAATTGGGATAGGAAGGGAATTGACAAAGCTGTATGGATGGGACAAGGACGCTCTGCTGAAGGTGTTTGGTGAATTGTCTGATCGGCTGGGAGTATGGGCCATTCCGTTGTACGTGGCGATCCATACCCTCACTCTCGCTCTCTGCTTGCCCTACGCCATTTTCTTCGAGGCCGCCGCTTCTCTTCTCTTCGGCTTCTTCCCGGCTGTCCTCTGCGTCTTTGCCGCCAAGCTGCTCGGTGCTTCCCTCTCCTTTTGGATTGGCAGGTACTTCTTCAAATTCAATACTTGCCCTTTTCTTATCAACAGTTCGGCAAGATCTGGGGGCCATTGGAATTATTTTAATATAAAAGTGTAGGTATAACTGTTAGAATTTGGATTTTGTATCAAAGAGGCACAGGACAGGGATCATTTGTCAATCACTGTGAGATAAAGTTTTGTGCTTTTTGAAGTTTTTTTATAACAGGTGAAAGGTGAGAAATTTAATGAAAAATTACACAGGAATCACCCCCACTACAAAAAAAATTTAACTACCCTTTTCCCTTTTTAATGAATTCATGCCTGAAATGAAAGAGCTATAGTCAAAAACAGTTTACTGATACAGGTATATGTTTAATGCTCTGTGATAGAGGTTGTTTCTGAAATGAGAATATTTGGGTGGATGAGTTACAGCATGAGAAAGAATAAAGTATGAAATGTATGGTTTTGTGAATCTAGTAGAGGTGAATCTCAGACTCTATCATAGGATTAGATAGAGTTATGATTGTTATCTTGTAAGTTGAGTCATTGACTACATATGTCTAGAACTAGAAGTGTGATTTAAACTTTTTGAGTGAAAGAAAAGTTTTTTTTAACTCTGATTTAGATGAGTATGAGGGCTTCTGCAGAAGAATTAACCTAGGTACCTGTAATGCGGAATGCATAGTACCGTTATCAAATACCATTCATAATATGATCAAAATAATATGATACACTAACCTAGTAACCTATGAGCAGCATTGCTTGCAACGTTTTACATTCTTCATATGACAACTCCAATTGCCCCTGTGCCAATTTGTTGTGATTAATGCTCTGTTGATTAGGTTGCGGTTCGTGTGCGTGTTCAATAATTGCTTTTAGGAATGCTTTGATGTTGTGGATTCTGTAGGTTAATATTCAAGAGCTCAAGTTCAGCAATGGAGTGGGTCCAGAGGAATAGGTACTTCGCTGTCCTCTCCAGAGGAGTTGAGCGAGATGGTTGGAGATTTGTTCTACTTGCCCGCTTCTCGCCAATGCCCTCCTATATCATAAATTATGCCCTTGCTGCAACAAGAGTTCGGTTTGTTGTGGATTTTCTGCTTCCAACAGTTATTGGCTGCATGCCTATGATTTTACAGAACACATCGATTGGTAGTTTGGCTGGTGCTGCTGTTTCTTCAGCATCTGGCTCTCAGAAATCTCAAATTTGGTCATATCTTTTTCCTGTACTAGGAATTGGCTCTAGCATTCTTATTTCCTTGAGAATTAAGAAGTACTCTACTGAAAATTTAGTGACTGAATCCCCTACCAGTGAGCATATTAATGATTCTAGTAACATTGCCGATTCTAACGAGGACCTGAAAAAGGGTCAATAATAGATTTGTTAACCCTAAAACTCCAAAGAATGGTTGTCTTCTCCAATTGATGGAATTTTTGCAGTTGAGACTCCTCCTTGTTATATACAATCTTTGTTGTTGTTGAATGATGTGCTATTTATTGTTTCCCTTTTAGGTCTTTCTTAGAGCAAGTCCACCGCCAGGGGCTAGCCCAGGCAGGAGGGGGCCCTAGGCCTGGAAGGAGACTCCAGCGCATCCAACCCGAGCAAGGCACGGGACCCACGAGCCCGGGCAAGCCTACGAGGAGATCTGACCAGTCTTCTTGCTTTCGGGTTGCTGATGTCAGGCTGGCGTCAGTGCAAGAATTTCAAATTTTTATTTTTATTTTTATCGTTGGCATGTGCATTGCTGTCAGAAACCAACAGCTGCAAGCCACGTGGCTTCTCCTGGAGCCTTGGATTCAAAAATCTTATCAAATCCAACGACTTTCCATTTTTTGGCTTGAAAAAATTTGTAAAAAATATCAAAAAATTCTGGAATTTTTTTCTATAAATACCTACTAATATTATTCACTTTCCACACCAAAATCTTCATACAAATTCATCTCCTTCTAATATTTGTAACTTTTCATACAAAATTTTCTACTACTAAATTCCATTTGTGTAAAAATACAAATGGTCTCTTCCATTGAAGCCGAAGGCGCGTGGACAACAATGGAAGATATTTTGTTGTGCGAGTGTAGGGTCAAAGTTGGTCATTGTCCGCAATGAGATGAAGTCCTCTCATATGTGGAGAAAAATTCATGGAGAATTTTGTGAAAGATAGGGTTCGGCTTGTACGGAAATGACTTTGGCTAGTAGGTGGAAAATTTTGAATAAAGAGCTAGGGAAATTGAGAGATGCTTGCCAAAAGTGAGGGAGAACATTCGAAGCGGTCAAAATCTTGGCGACAAGGTAAAATATTTCTAAATGCAGTTTTATTCAATTTAATGTCACATTTAAAAAAAAAAAAAAATTTCTTGCATTTCCATTTTTATTTGATTTTATTGCATTTCCAAAAAAAATTAATATTTTATTGCATTTCCTTTTTTTTTTTCTTGCATTTTCATTTTTTTAAATAGATTATTCAAGCACAAATGTGGTTCGGTACCATTGTCCAAGGCAAAAAAAAGTTTAATCAATCACCAATGTTTGGACGTTGTGAAAAATTGTTCGAGATTCAAAATTATTTCCATTGGTCTGACGGTTGTGTTGAATGAAACGCCGATCCACGATTCACTGGTAACTGATTCGCCATTGGACTTCCCAATGGATTAAGAATCACCAATCCAACGTGAGCCGAGGCCTATTGGGAGAAAGGCGGCAAAGGCCAAGAGAGGGAGCACTTCGAACACTGAATGTGCAAAAATTTTAGAGCAAATTGCTAAGAACAACGCACTGAGAATTTAGAGACTTGAAAAGAGAAGAAGCTAACAAGGCACGATATGAAGCATATACAATTGAAAGGCATCAGGCACAACAACAAGACATGGAGGACAGAGAGATGAAAATCATGGCCATGGATATGAGACATACGTCTCCTGAAATAAAGTCTTATTGGAAGCTAAAACGAAGGGATGTTATGAGAAGAAAGTTTTTCCATAATGATGGACCTAGCAACACAGATTGATTAAATGATCAAAACCATTAGGTTGTATTGAAAGAGTTGTCATATGTATTAATTTGTTGTATTGTTTCTCTTTTATTGAATCAAGAAAGCATTAAATAATATAGCTATTTATTAAAAACATTTCATACATCAAAACAAACCTTAATTCATTACAAACCACACGCAAAACAACCCATAATTAAAAACAAAGCATAATTAAAAACAAACCATTAAACTTGACTTCATCCACCGTGATTGTCTTTCATCACCCATAAGTACTCGATCAAGTCAACTTGACGTCTCTCGTGAACATAAGAAGATTGCATTTCCATATAACGATCAATCATATGATTGTTGTATCGACCGCCCCTAATCAGCGGTTTGTGCTCCAATGGTTGTCCATTTGCTTTCATGGGCCGTTCATAAATTCTTGTCAATGCTGTGTTAATGGGATCGGATTCGAACATCTCTAGGCATCATAATCATACTCATCCTCCACAATCATGTTATGAAGGATGATGCAAGTCATCATAATGCTCTGAAGCACCTCTTCATCAACCATACGAGCAGCACCCCAAATAATTGCCCAACGAGCTTGCATGATACCAAAATACATTTCCACATCTTTCCTATAACCCTCTTAAAAGGCAGCAAAGCTTTTTTCCTTCTCTAATTAGGGATTCTGAATTGTTTTGACGAATGTTGTCCACCTTGGATAAATTCTGTCCCCAAATAATTGCCCAACGAGCACTGCTAAAACAACGTCATCCTCATCTTCATCCAACTCACGATCTTCTTCAGCACGTCTGTGCCTGATTTCTTCTTCTTCTCACTATTGCCTCTCCAACACCCTCCTCGGGTTAGACATTGAGAGTAGAATATGTTTTTTAAAATCTGAGAAATGAAAGGATAGAGAGGAAATTGTGTGAGAGGTCTGAGTTGAGGGTGTAGTTTCATAGAGGGATTTAGAATATAGAGATGACACATGCCGCAACTTTATAGGGTGAAAATCTTATCTGAAATATGAGATTATAATTTTATAATAAATATGGACACATGGAAACCAAAAATCTTATTTGAAATTTGAGATCTAAATGTTATAACAAAATATGGACACGTGGCAATCGAAAATCTTATCTGAAAATTTTATGCTAAAATTTTATCCGAAAATGTTATCTGAAATTTTATATGATAATTTTATAATAAATAGTGATACGTGGCAACCGAAAATCTTAACAAAATTAATATTTTAAATATTTTTAAAAAAAAAAATTAAAGTGAATAGTAATTGCCCTTGCCCTTACCTATAGGGGTGGGAACAAAATATGCAAGGGCTGCCACTATTCACATGAATAGTGACAAACCTTACCTTGCCCTTGCCGCCAGTCCATTAGATTGAAAGGCCAGGTGCAAAGAAAACTGATGAGACCCTATATGTTAAATTTAAAAAATTTAAATAAAAAAAATTTGTTGTAAATTTTTCAATTTTCAAAATTTATAAATTTATAAATTTATAAATTAAACCAAAATCATCATTAGTGGCATGAATTACATCTATTTTCAAATACTCACATTCACTCAATTGTCTTCTATATCTATTTTCAATTCCATATGATGTTTTCCAATATTGTAACATAATACACGTCATACCAAGCCATACCAAGACAGGCAAAAATGGAAAGAAAAAAATGGCCAGAGAAACAACAGCAAGTCAAGCAAGTCAGACAAAAATGGGGGAAAAAATGGTCAGATATACCACACCAAGCCAGCAAAAATGGAAATAAAATGAAGATGTTCATATGAGGGACATGTAAAAAAATTGGAAATAGTAGGAGGAAGAGGAGAAAAATGTTTTTTTTTAATCAAAAAGAGGAGAACATGGATTCAACCAGAATATATAAAAAAAAGAATAGGAGAAAAGAGAGAGGTTGTTGGGAACAAAAACGTGCTTGGAGAACAAAAACGTGCTTATAATAATAATAGTAATAATTATTTTACCCAAAAAAAAAATAGTAATAATTATATATATATATATTTCTAAAATTGTAATGCAACATTATTTATATAAAATTGGAGACCCCTCATTTTTGGAGGTCCTATGATGTCACACATGCCATGGGCCGGCTCTACTTTAGGGAGAAAATGCTCTTAGCCTTAGCATAATCACATTGTGAAGTGTCTTGAGTGCTATCCAGAGGTACATTGAAAAAAGGACTACAATTACAAAAAAATTAAATTAATTAATTAATTTTCCCGTATAATGCCCGAATATTTTACGTATGTTTTTAATAGATTCGCTGAATAATATATATATATATATATATATATGTATTTTATATGTACTATATACCCTGTTACATATATTACATGACATCATGCATTGATGTGCATTAATCATTATCTTTATATTTAGGTAATAGCTGGTCATTGTTATTTTTGGGCAGAATGTGCATTGGTCATTGTTTTTCTCGATTCTTGATGTGACTTTGCTGCTGTTGATGAAAATGATCATGCATGATGATTTTAAGGTTGGGGTGGGGTTATGACCTCATGATTGGCATAAGATACATATTAAGGTATTGATTACAACTGTTAATCTCCACACAAAGCAATGTTTATATTCACACCCATCATCATTAAGCACAATGTGAACAGCGTTTATAGGAGGGTCAAGGTCAATGCCTTAATGGATGAATCTTTTTTTTTTTTATCAGATAACGCATGAATCTTTAGGAACCGAAGGTCGTTGATTTTATTTTTTTTAGCACTATTCATAATTAGATCAAAATGCTTTGTTTTACCATTAAACACCACAAATTGAAAGCATGGCTATTGGAACTTAAACAATCATAGGGATGAATCTATGTTTTTTTTATAAGTATCTTATGTATTATATGTATTTTGAGGGGTATATGGCTCATTATCAATAAAATCCATTCGTGCCGTCTCATTTCTTTTGTAAGGTAAATTCAGCCTGATTCATTTTAAAATTCTGAATCTATCCTATAACAACATCTTATTAGAATGATGTCAAAAAGATGATCTTCCTTTTGAAATGTACTTATCTTTAACAACACCACCAACCAACCCACGTCGGAAACCCAAATGCAAGCCAGCTTTTGCCATTTCAAAATGGTATTTGAAGGATTTCAAACAAAATCCATTTGCGTTGCACAAAATTGACACACTTGTTCATTTCAAGATTTGGCCACCTTAACAACCCTTTCGGATTTTGTCAACATTGTCCACTTCCAACCAAGGCACCACTTCCAGCGTAGGCAACGTTGAATTGAATACCCCCACGGTGCCTCTTTTACGGTGATATATTCTGCCACTTGCACATTATTTCTGAATTTGTGGTCCATTTGGAAATGAATGGAAGCAAAATGATGATAAAAGCAAAGGATAATGTGCTCTTTTTGTTGATGTGACATGTGTACTTATTCTTTGCACAA